CTACCGTATCAGCAAATCATAGAACACTGCAGGTGTCCCTATATTGCTGCATAGAATGAAATGTCACACTAGAAAATGACACAATAAGGGATAAAGCAACAGAAGGGTTCTCTGCTAAGCATTCTGAGAGGTGTTGCAGCCTGTGTTTCAGCTGGCTTTAAAGAAGGATTAGATCAAAATCGATGAGAAGGGGGGAGCTCTGTTAATCTGTTAACAGCTAAATGGAATTCCATATGCCAAGGTAGCCCTTCTCTGTATATAATTCATTTTCATGTCCTGTTTCTACCGTTCACGGGCATTGAGCTTCCTCGCAGAGAAAGTAATTTCTTCCTTAACTGCCATCATTCTTCTGCTGGGTGGGAGAGTTGTAATTCAGCATGTTTGAAAATCATTAGGTTGCGAAAGAAAGCCTAAATTTATCCACTGAACGTTATGGCTTGATGAAGATGGTCCAACCTCTCCTCATCAGCTTCCCTACACATAATACTCTCCCAGGGGTGGGATTCTACCGGTTCAGACCGGTTCGGGAAAACTGGTAGCTCCAACAATCAGCTGGGAGGGAACCAGTTTGCTCCGACGATCAGGTTGGCCCGCCACTGCGTTTTACTTACCTTTATCTTCTCAGCTGACTGGCGCGGCAGAGCAGATTGCCGCACCTCAGCTGTGTTACTCCCAAGTGGTAACACAGAAGGTTAGTATTTGTAAAATTGTGCATGCGCACGAAGCACGGGTGCAAAGCGCGCGATCACCGAACCGGTTGTTGAACCGGCAACATCCCACCACTGTACTCTCCTCCTCTTATAGTGCTTCCTGTTGTAATACCTAGCAATCAAACCTTCACGTGGAAATAAAAGTATTTATATTTATTTATCGTATTTAGAAACAACCCATCTCCCTTATAGAAGATACAAGTATAATTAAATCAGTGGTGGGTTTCAAATTTTTTTACTACCAGTTCTATGGGTGTGGCTTGGTGGGCGTGGCATGGTTTGGTGGATGTGGCACAGTGGGCGTAGCAGGGGAAGGATACTGCAAAATTCCCATTCCCACCCCACTCCAGGAGAAGGTTACTACAAAATCCCCATTTCCTCCTGATCAGCTGGGACTTTGGAGGCAGAGAATAGATGGGGGCGGGGCCAGTCAGAATTTTTACTACCGGTTCTCCGAACTACTCAAAATTTCTGCTACCGGTTCTCCAGAACTGGTCAGAACCTGCTGAAACCCCCCTCTGAATTAAATATTAGACACTAGACCAGTGTTTATCTATCTTAGGCAATTTTAAAATGCGGATTTCAATTCCCAGAATTCCCTAGCCACCATGCTGGCTGAGGAATTCTGGGAGTTGAAGTCCACACATCTGCATCACAGAGATATAGCAGAGGTTGATTGTTGCCTTCATGCTCTCTGTTTGAGCTTCCAGGATGCAGATTAATCAAAGCCAACAAAGAAGGAATTGGATAAAATGGACTTTTGATTTGATTCAGATCAGCTCACTTTATTAACCATGATGGTAAAGAATCAATTTCTCTGTCCAGAGACTCTCTATCTCTGCCCTATTATCCTCAAACAGATCTTGGCTTGGGGAAGCCTCAGAAAGTCAGCATTGCCTCCTGACTTTGCTAGTGGAGATATCCAGTTCTCCTTTGTGGAAAAGTATGCTAGAAAATCTTTGGTGTAATCCAGCAGGCTCTTTTCCTTTTTACCCCTAGAACCAGAGGGAAATAGTGGGGCCAAATGCAGACAAAACCTAAGCTGTGTCCAGACAAGGTTAATCAGCTCAGTTTAAAAGACCTTCTGGCTCTTTTGCACTTCATGCTAAGTTTGTCTGGGGTCAACCTTGTTCTGTGCAAATCCAGCCTGCTTGGTCAGTATTCTATGGACTCAGAAAACAAACAGATTTAGAAACGAGGTTACACATAGAATGAGAAGAGGAATGTGCTGCTCACTTAAATCTTCTGTATGGGGTGTCCTTTATAACATTTTACAATCCAAAAAAAATTACACGTTACGTCCCGATTCCTCTGAGGAACAGAAATCCAACGAGGAGCACAGACACACCCTTCTCCTCCTGATTGTCCCATCACTCCTCACTCCTTCCACTTCTCTGTTCAGCCTCTCCTCAGAAAGCATCATCTGCTCTCAGCAGTGGAACTGATGCTGAGAATTGAAATGTCACAACAATCAAAAGCTTTGATGTTCAAACTTCTAAAAAGGAGCAAGGCTAAGGGATTTGAAAACCAGTACTCCAAAGTCATTTTCCTTTCACACTGCTGTAAGATTTGATCAGGGTGTTTTCTTAAAGATGATGGTAATCACTTTAATTTCATCGCCCACTTTAACCTTTCAAGGCTGAATTTAATCTGCAGCCCGAGAGTGAGCCAGCCAGCCAGATTCCTGCTGGTTCATGGCCAACCTCTTCATCTCTTTACAGCTAAAAATACCTAATGAACATAAATTGTGGCATGTGCTGGACCTGTATCACAGCAAATCTCCCAGGTCTTGTAGAATAGCAGCAACAAGAAAATGCCTTATTCAGTCAATTACAACCCACCATAGTTTCAGTTTCACAGACCCTAAAGTCACAACACAAGGAAATATAAATTATCTCCCCCTCCTCCTTCTTTACAAAATAACAGGAGACCTTATAGCATTTCAAACAAATGGCTGTCCAATCTCTTCTTAAAAACCTCCAGTGATGGAACATCCACAACTGAAGGCAAGCCATTCCACTGCTTAATTGTTCTCACTGTTGGGAAATTTCTCCTTAGTTCTAGGTTGTTTCTCTCCTTGATTAGTTTCCATCCATTGTTTCTTGTCTTGCCTTCTGGTCCTTTGGAAAATAGGTTGACCGCCTCTTCTTTGTGGCAGCCCCTCAAATACTGGAATCATGTCACACCTAATTCTTCTTTTCTTTAGATTAGCCAAACCCAATTTCTGCAACTGTTCTTCATATGTTTTACTCTCTAGCCTTCTAATCATCTTTGTTGCTCTTTTCCTCACTCTTTCCAGAGTCTCTACATTTTTTTTTTAATAATATGGTGACCAAAATTGGATGCAGTATTCTAAGTGTGATCTTTTAAGGCTTTATAAAGTGGTACTAATACTTCATGTGATCTTGATTCTATCCCTCTGTTAATGCAACCTAGGATTGCATTGGCTTTTTTTGGCTGCTGCCACACACTGCTCGTTCATATTTAAGTAACTATCCACTAGGACTCCGAGATCCCTCTCACAGTTACTGCTATTGAGCCAGATTTCACCTAATCTGTTATCTGTACATTTGGTTTTTATTGCCTAAGTGTAAAAGCTTACTTTCTCTACACTGAATTTCATTTTATTAGATAGACCTCAGTGTTCACATCTGTCAAGATCTACCTGGATCTCGAGCCTATCTTCGGGGATGTTGGTTATTTCTGCAGGAGTTTGACAAGTTCCCTTTCTATCCCTTCATCTAAATTGCTTATGAAGTTGTTGAATAATATTGGGCTTAAATGCAACCTTGGCGTACCCCACTGCTTACTTCCCTCCTTGTAGATGTGGTTCCATTGAGGTCTACACAATTGAGTGCAATTTGAGTCCTCCTCTCCTCCTCTTCCTTGCTGGTAGTTTAGTTATTCTGATTATTACTGTTATGCTTACACCTATTACTATTATTTCAATTTATAACCTACCTCTTCTCTTAAGACCCAAGATGGTATATCTGATTCTGTGGCCACTTTATCTTCACCATCATTTGGTGGAGTAGGCTGAACTGAGAAACAGTAATTTACCAAATGTTATTCAGGTAGCTGGGCTGGAAGGAGAGGAGCCCAGTCCAAACCGATAGGGGTTTCACACCCCTCTATACCAGGGGTGTGAAACTTGCGGCCTACGGGCCCAGATGCGTCATGCACTGGCCACACCCACCCCCGGTTTAGCGAAGGGGGGAAAAGTCACAATACGTCCCGTGATGACGACGTGCTAATGCGAGTTTGACACCCCTGCTCTATACCCTACCACCCTCACCAGTCAATACATCAGAGATTCAAACCGAGATCTCTTGCATATTCCCAAACACCCCCCCCCAAAACCCATCCCTAAGATCTATTCACTGTAGCAGCTGAGTGGATCCCTGGCTATGTCACTGCATTTACTTAAAACAAAAACTAAGCTTCTAGTCCTCACGGTTTTTAAGACTGGCTCAAAAGGATTCATGTTGATGAGAAGATCCATTTATATACATACATACATACATACATACATACATACATACATACATACATATCACTCCCTTTTAGTCTCAAAAATAGATATGACAAACAAGAGTTTATTTCTGCATCTGACTTAAGTACCGTGTAACTACTCATCTCCCTCCACAAATAGCCTACATTTTAACTCTGGTGCTTGCAGAACCAGACTCTAATTCTAGGCTGGGTGTTTTTGAGGTCTGCTTAGCATCAACGCTGTCTGACTCCTCCCTACCAGCTTCCCAGCTTTCATTTCCATATATCTCAGAGTCAGAGAAATTGAAGCTATTCATCTGGGCTCTTTCCTCCTTGAGGAACTCAGCACGAAACAAGCCCACTACAAAGGCTTTTCCGTCATCTCCAAGAAGATTTCTCTTACAGAGAAACTCGGCTTTTGATCCACGCTTTAGGTTTCACATTCCATCAGAGATAGCTTTATTATTTTTTAAAGCTCTGCTCGGGCTGTGGGGTGGGGCTTGTCCTAGTTTCTGCAAAACTCAGAGGAAGTCCCAAGTTGTGCATCAGCCTTGCCTTCATCTCAGGGGAAGTGATGAATTTTGCCGCTTCTCCAAATCAACAGCTTCCCGACATACTGAACTTCAGCTCACAGGAGCTGCTGGGGACTTCGATTTCCCCAAAGACTCCTTGAAATCTTTTTCATCCTGAATTACAAATATGCTTACAGTTCAGGAAAATAAAGGGAGCACATTTTCTAAGATCTTGCAACTCAGAAAATGGGTAAACGGAGCAGAATCTTAAAATCCAGAGGCTTACCTGGGCAAAATTCCACCAATCCATGCGACTTCAACAGTTGAAGTGGAGTGTTTGCTGCCCGTCTGAAATTCTGAATTCACAAGCCACTCGTGGTGACTGGATCTGGTTTTGAGCAGGTTCACCCCTTTTTTGGCCTTCACCCTGCCAAGCAACAAGAAAGAGAAAGCAACATCTTTTTCTCAAGGACCCTCAAGTTAGGTCCCTCCATTCTCTCCCTCTGCATCTCCTTGGGCGTAATATTCAATCACCTTATTAAACTGAAAAAACCACATTCGGAGTGAGTAGCTGGCTATACTTCTATAAGAGGTAGGGCCACTGTTATTACAGCACCTGAATTCTTGGAAAGAGCTGCCATCTCAGGAGGGACATAAGATGGCAATCTACAGGTAGTCCTCAACTTACGATCATAATAGAGCCTGCCCATCACGGTCATAAGTTATGATGGCCATAAATTGGGTCACCTATCTGACCAACTTTATATATTTTTTTGTAGTGATCATTAAGTGAACATCACTTCTTCTAAAGCAAATGCCCCAAAGCAAAACAATATTGGAGTAAAATTAGAATACAATTAGAAGAGATAATCAAACAGCATATAGAGATGAAGCCAGAAATATTTTTATTAGGAATACTCCCAGGGATATATGGAAAAAAAATACAATATTTAATTATACATACTATAACAGCAGCAAGAATAATATATACACAGAATTGGAAAAATAACAATATATCAACAGAAGACAATCTGATTAGAAAAGTTTTGGAGTGTGCAGAAATGGGCAAACTTACAAAGGAAATACAAGAAAAGGAGGAAACAGAATATTATATAGTGTGGGAGAAATGGTATCAATGGTTAGAGGAGAGGGATAAAAGGCAAGGAAAGAGTAAATGAAGAAGATATAGGAGTGGAAATGCAGTAACAAACAAGAGGAAACAGAAGAGATGCAGATCGTAGGAATCAAATTGTGTACACTGTTATCTATATGTATATATGTAAATAAATCAATATTAGAATTATATGTATAAAGGATAAATTGAAATAAGGGAGAAAAAATGGATATGTAAGAAATGTTTACCGATGCGAAATTGTTGAAAAGAAGAAAAAGATTGTAAAAGATTCTTTTTTGTTTTCAAAAAACCCCCCAAAAACTGTTTAATAAAAATTATTTTTTTTAAAAAAAAAGAGAGAACCAATGATTTCTTATGGGCTGTTATGGCCAAAAACCAGAAATAAACACTAATTTTCAGCAAAACGATTGTAAAATGTGGTCACGTGACTGTGGGATGCTACAAATGGACATAATTGCTGAGTGCCTGACGTGGTCATGTGATCACGGGAGTTGGGGGAGTGGCCATCAGAAGTTCGGAACCAGGTTATAAACTAAGCCACTGGTCTTAAGTCAAGGATTATCTGTACATGCCTTTGCTGTCCTCAAGTGGCCATCTGGATTTCTGCAACCCTGCATATGGTACCCAATTATTGGAACACTCTCCTACTTCTTAGGCACCAGATTTGGTTTTTTGCAGGAGTTGAAAAAGATATAACCACGGCATCATTTTGGATGCTCATGTCCACTGTTTAAGTTCACAGCTTATAGTGCCTTGTAATTTATTTGTTTAGAATTTTTAACATTTATAACAAACTTCTTCATGCTTTATTTGATGGAAAAACTGGAGTATATATAAACTAACCCATGTATCAAACAAAACCAGACTCCAACCACATTTGAGTATCCTTATGGGGAAAATGTGAAGATAAAATTCTTGCCAAAAGCCCAACCCTGTCACAGGAGTAAACATGAATGAATAATACAATCTATTTGCATCTACGTATCAGTCTCTGAATTTCTGTGTTTGGAATATGAATTGTTTTTGTTGTTCTTGGCCTATACCCGTGGTGGCAAACCTATGGCACGCGTGCCAACTGTGGCACGCGGAGCCATATTGGTGGGCACGCGAGCGTTGCCCTAGCTCAGCTCCAGCACGCATGCGCGCCCCAGCCATCTGATTTTCGGGCCTTCTGGTCCCACCGGAAGTCAGGAAACTGGATGTTTCTGGCCTCCAGAGGGCCTCCGGGGAGTGGGGGAGGCCGTTTTCGCCCTCCCCAAGAAAGCCGGCGAAAAATGGCCTACTGGGCCCACTGGGCCATCACGTGCAAAAAGTGTGAGGTTGCACGGGGGGGGGGGGGGGGGGGTGTGCGCGTGGGCGGAAGGGGAGGGCGCATTGAATTATGGATGTGGGCACACGTGCCCGCGACCCCCCACACTCCCCCCACTTTTGGCACGCAACGGCAAAAAAGTTAGCCATCACTGGCCTATACTGTCTTCTGTGTTCGGCTAAGTGCAGTGGTGGGAGTCAAATAATTTAACAATGACCGGCTTGGTGGGTGTGGCCAGGGGGTGTGACAGTCAGTACGCGGGCTCCTCACCCCACTGGGAGCAAAAACAGGCTGTGGGGGATGGGGGGCACACACACCCACGCCCCATTTTGGGCCCAGCAGGCTACCCTGCAGCCTCCTGGGAGCAAAAACAGGCCGCAGGGGGACTTCTGGAAGGGGCGGGGCAGGGCCAACCAACAATTTAACAACCGGTTCTGCCAAAGTAGTGCGAACCGGGTGAATCCCACCACTGACTAAGTGAATGCCTAAATGTCTATTTAAGGTACTGTTGACTTATTTAACAAAAGTAACAACAGACAAAAAGCCGAATTTGCACAGCAAAGCTGCAGGTTTTTTTTTTTTTTTTTTTTTTTGGCATTTCCCTCCTCCCACCTGCTGCCTAAAACATCCAGGCTCCAGATTGTTCATTTTTGGTCTACAAGATAGTGACTGCTGTGGACTTTGTTAGAAGTCTGCATATAAGAACCTTCCACACCTTTCCACAATGCTCCTGTGAGAGGTTGCAAGGGAGACGCAGAAAGAAAAGGCAGGAACTAGACATAAACAAGCAACAGATGGGAAAAGGCTTTGATACTAATGTATAAACGACAGCTTGCAAAAAGCACAGGAAAAACAGATTCAAATACTCAAAGAGATTCTGCTTTAATGAATTCACTAATAAAAGGCTGGAGCTTCCTACGGCAGCTTTCCAAGATTTCAAAATGAGGGGTCTTTAGCGCTGTCTGAGCCTGGTTGTTTTGCTGCAGGCATTTCATTACCAAACTAGGCAATATCATCAGTTTTAGCACTGGAGAGAGCACCAAGGACCCCTCATTTCAATCCTGAGCTATGAATATTCAATTCCATCGATTCCAAAATGAATTGTTTCACTAAAACTCCTTACTAAAGCCTAGGTAATCTTGTTTCTGTGTTCAGGGTTTGATGCCACCACGCCAACAGCGATGGAGAGCTATGCTTGTTCTGGATCCTTTAACAACCCCGGTCCCTGCAGGCAGTGCTTACCTAAGCATGAAGTGCTCAACCGTTGAGTTGCCCATCAGGTACAGGGTGACACTGAGAACCTCGCCTGGTTTGAGAGGTTTCTCAGGTAGCCGGATGAAGATGCTGTCATCCAGATGCTGCTCCTGCAAGGGTTGGGTGGCCGGCGGCTGAACCAGCCTCAGACTGCCAATGCGCAGGAGAGGGTGCTGGGTGGGACCTTCAATCCGTGCCCCGGCCCCGCCTCTCCGTCCCATTGGTTCGCTCCCGCACTCCCCCGTTGCATCGGGGGCGTGAAGCGTGTAATAGAGTTCTGCTTGCTGTACATCTCCACCTGGTTCAATGTCCTCCATCACTTTCCTCCGCCCCAGGGGCACGGCAGCGGGACCAAACCAAGCTTGAGGCAGCTCAGCTTGGGCTAGGCAGGTGGCCAGGCTGCCCCGAAGGCGGCAAGAGGCCCGGACCTCACGGGCCTCACGAAAGGCGTGGAGTCGCACACAGGGCAGCCGCTCGGTCACGTCGAAATCATCCCAGTCACGTCCGGCCACATAGAATAGCACCTGGGCTGTGGGTTGGTTGGCTGGCACCCGTGTGCCAACGATGAAAGCCCGTACTTTCCAGTTCACTGTCAGGCGTTCTGGTATCTCCAGAGTGCTTGAGGGCTGCAGCAGCTCCTTGGGTAGCACGAGGCCTGAGTTGAACGGTCCCAAAGAGACGTTGAGCACAGGTAGTTTCTTGGTTTGGAACACAACGAAAGGCTCCGACCGGGTCAAGCCAAGGATATTGTTTCCCCTTGGTATCGGCCGCGTCTCTCTCAGGAAGAATGCCAAGCGGGTATTGGAAAGATTGTAACTGACTGGAAGAACAGCAGCGACAGGAGGCTGGGAGGCCTCTGGAGCTTCTGAGCTTGTCGGGGGGACTTTGGCCTGAGCTGGAAATCAAGGGATAAAAAAATAACATGAAGTCATTGGCTGTTAGTATTGACCATCTTTTATATACTCCCTATCCTCTAGAATGGGGGTGGGGAACTATGGCCCTTTTATGACTTGTGGACTTCAACTCCCAGAATTCCTGAGCCAGCATGCCTCAGGAATTCTGGGAGTTGAAGTCCTCAAGTCATAAAAGGGCCATAGTTCCCCACCTCTGTCCTACAAAGTGCCGTAAAAAGTAAATCTAATCCTGGAATTGTTTCAATCCTTTACATCAATTGAAGAATTCCCTTCAGTCCTTAAGTGATACTTCATGGTTGGTTATTGTACAATCTGATGCAATCTTTGTGTTATACCCTACAAGCACCATGTGTTAGAACAGGACAGTGTTTCTCAACTTTGGCAAATTTAAGAAGTGTGGATTTCGACTCCCCAAATTCCCCAGCTGGCACGCTGGGAATTAAAGTCCACTCATCTTAAAGTTGCCAAGGTTGAAAGCAAGGGTGAAATCCAGAAGGTTCTGATAGGTTCTGGAGAACCGGTAGCGGAAACATTGAACAGTTCGGAGAACCGGTAGCGGAAACTTTGAGTAGTTCAGAGAACTGGCAAATACCACCTCTGGCTAGTCCCAGAGTGGGGTGGGAATGGGAATTTTGCAGTATCCTTCCCCTGGAGTGGGATGGGAATGGAGATTTTGCAGTATCCTTCCCCTGGAGTGGGGAGGGAATGGGGATTTTGCAGTATCCTTCCCCTGGAGTGGGGTGGGAATGGAGATTTTGCAGTATCCTTCCCCTGCCACGCCCACCAAACCACGCCCACCAAGCCACACCACACCACAGAACCAGTAGTAAAGAAATTTGGATTTCACCACTGGTTGAAAGAATATTGAATGTTATATCTTTTTTAAAAAAAAGAAGAGAGGAAAGGGAATTTATTTAGATTTAAATAAGTTGTCTTAAGAATTTATTGTTAAGCCCTTGTTGTCTTACACCATTGTTGTCTCAAGAAAAACAAAAAAAGATTGTTCTTAATACATTGTTGTCTTAAGAAATATCAGAGACTAAGTTTCTTGGCCTCTTTGGATAAGAGTCCAAGGAAACCAGTACCTGCTACTCTCTGATTTATCTCAAGACGACAATGCTGTGTGATAGGACGAGAGACAGTGACTGGTCCATAGTCAACCAATAAACTCCTTGACTAAGGCAGAACAAACATTACATTTCTTCACTCCAAATCCAACATCCTAACTTTATTTCCACACATGCTCTTGTTTACTATTCTTCCACTCCAAACTCTTCCTGCTACAGGGAAAGGCTAGTCCGTTTACTTCTGCCTTCATACTCTTAACCTTTCATTACAACACCCTCTGATTAAATTAGCACTCATCAAGTATCTTAAGACCACAAGTCCCAAATTTCCCAGGCCAATCTGGACATTCTGAACAACAAAACTCATTTTCTGTACACAGAAAAGCCTCAATTTTATGGATCAGTTGAAAGAAGGAATATCTGTTACACCTAAATGTGCATTAAATCCAATTTGATATAACTTCATTTGCATCCATTCATATCTATAGCGTACAGTTTAATTACATGATTTACTTGAGTGTATACAAGTGAAGTCAATTATGTAATGATGCAAATAATGTAAATTAATATTACTGACGTAAATTATACCAATTGCTCAGATTGTTTTCGAAACAGTTGGCCTTGTCTGTTATTTGAGAGTGAATGCCAGCTATTTTGACATTGAAGTCTACTTCATGGGCAGACACCCACAATTAATCTTCCCTATGTTTCCTACCTGTCCTACTGGGGCTGACAGGAGGGCCATGTTCTGGCTCTTATCAGCTAAATCACGGGTGTCAAACTCGCTGCGTCACGTTGCAATATTTTTTTCCTTCAAGGAGCTGGGGTGGGCCTGGCGTAGCATGATGCATCTGGCTCGCGGGCTGCCAGTTTGACACCTGTAAGCTAAATAGTGTTGGCTGGCAAGGCCAAGAAGGAGAGTCTTTTCTGCCATGGCACCAGTGGTGGGTTGCTCCCGGTTCGGTCCGGTTCTATAGAACCGGTAGTAAAACCAGCAGAAAGCTCCGCCCACCCACCACGTCATTATGGGTGATCTGCACATGCGCCCCCACTGCCAACTAGTAGTAAAGGTACGTGGAACCCACCCCATCCTATCGAACATCATTTTGTCTGAAATTAGAATGGCCAGAATCCTGTTGCCTTTCGTAAGCCTTGAAAATTCATGCCTGGGTCTGGAACCCCAAGGGAACCAGTCTCTTGGCCTTGCTGATGGTGGTTTTTACGGTGCTTGGCTGCTGTGTGTTTTCATTTTTACATGTATTTTATTTATTTTATTGTGAGCCCTCTCCAGTCACATATTTAAGATGGCTGGCTGTATACAGTAGTCCTTGACATACAGCTAGTCATTTAGTGAATTTTCAAAGATAGGACACACCCCAAAATGGGAATTATGATGTCTGCCCCTCCATCACATCACTGTATTTTAGGCACTTGGCAAATATACAACTGTTTGCAGTGCCCTGTTTTTGCCAGAAACTGGCATTTACTTGTGATTTGCGGCAAAAACCCTCTCATAGCAAACAATGTGTTTGCTTAATAAGCACCGCAAAAAAGTCATAAAATCAGGTCTGGTCTCATAGTGAGCATGCTTTATGAGCATCATGACTTACTGTATGATCGAAATTGTGGGTTCAATTACAGTTATAAGTCAAGGACTACCTGTAGATCAAATAAACAAAGGAACAGCTAGGGGTGAATGTTGAAATAAAACAGATTTAACCCCTATATGGAACTGCAGTAAGGTGATAGTGCAGATATCCTGAGGAGAAAGTCAGGCTATTCCACAAATGTGGGAGTTACTACACATCCCATATATCTTGACTGGAGGCTAAAACATATGAAGAACTGTTGCAGGAACTGGATATGTCTAGTTTAATGAAGAGAAGGACTAGGGGAGACATGATAGCAGTGTTCCAGTATCTCAGGGGCTGCCACAGAGAGAGGGAGTCAAGCTATTCTCCAAGGCACCTGAAGGCGGGACAAGAAGCAATGGGTGGAAACTAATCAAGGAGAGAAGTAACCTAAAACTAAGGAGAAATTTCCTGACAGTTGCAACAATTAATCAGTGGAACAACTTGCCTCCAGAAGTTGTGAATGCTCCAACACTGGAAGTTTTTAAGAAGATATTGGATATTTCAACATAGTGTTCCCCAATCGTAAATGCCCTCCAAAAGGGTGAAGTTCATCTTACTGTTTGGGGCTGAAGCAGAGGGGAGAAAGGATTTTCTTGTCTCACCACCCCCCGGTTTAAGATAAGTGTTGGGTCTTTTTAAAATTAGAAAAATTGGGTTTCAGGAGCTTACCCTATAATTTGGTAGGTTCCCACTTCTGAAAATGGGGGCAGCCTGGCGGCTCAGTGGTTAAGAAGCTGGGATTGTCAGCTGGAAAGCTGTCAGCCCAGGTTTGAGACCCGAGCTCCACATGACGGGGTGAGCTCCCGTTCTTACTCCAGCTCTTGCCAACCTAGCAGTTCAAAAGCATACAAATGCAAGTAGATAAATAGGCACCACTTCTGTGGGAAGGTAACAGCACTCTGTGACATCATGTTGGCCTCATGCAGAAATATCTTCAGACAGCACTGGCTCAATGGTCTTGAGATGGAGATGAGCACCTCCCCCTAAGTCGGCAATGACTAGTGGAGTAAAATCCGCAGGGACCCTTTACTCACTTCAGAATGTCAGACAACTTCGTCATTGATTTTGGACAACTGGGCTCAAATGGGGCTTCAAGAAGTCACAAAATGGAGGAGCATGTGGGAGGACATGTACATCTGGCCCTGAGGTCCCTGGTTATCTATTCTCTAGTCCAAAAGAGTCCTCCAGTCTGAAAGAATCTGGCCTGTAGCAACACCACTCTAAACATTTTTCGTTACCTTATTATCAAAGCATTATTGGCCACACGGCCTCCTCCTGTCTCTCTTAGCATCAGGGGCCTCATTTGATCATCAACACAACTGTGCATTCGTAGGAGGCTCCGATTATCTCTGGGGCTAGAAGAAGCCATGGAGAATGGTCCACTAACTGGCACCTTTCACCATTCAAGTGCTGGAAGCAGCTGCACAAGGGAGGACTTAGCTTGCCCTCCCTGAACTCCAGCCTCAGAGGAAAAATTAGAGCTATTAATACGCAAACACCTTCATTAACCCTCCTAAATGCATGCAGATTGTGTCCTTCAATCAGCCGCTCTTGGTACAACAGAGATGGTGGCTGCATATTTATAGCTCCTAACAAAACATCTGTCAAGAGGAAACAAGTGTTTGTGTTTGAACAGAACTCAGGGATTCCTATCCCTGAATCCAATACTGGCACTGAAGGATTCCAGTCCACAGATAGGAACACAAAATATTTTGGTGCTAGAAGCCAAAATCTTTTTTAAAAGGTTTCCCATGCTGTTAAAAATTAGTGGTGTTTTTAATGAGAGATGGAGCATCCCCAAACTATCCAGATAGTGTTACACTTCAACTCTTATCAGCATAGCCACACTGTGGCTTTGATCAGAGCAACTTAGTTAATTTGAGAGCCAGCCAGTTTGGTCTAGTGGTCAAGGCACCAAGGCTAGAAACAAGGAGACCATGAGTTCTAGTCCCATCTTTGGCATGAAAGCCAACAGAGTAGAGTGACTTTGGGCCAATCATTCTCCAATCAGCCCAATGTACTTAAAGAGTTGTTGTTGGGATAATAGGGGGAGGAAAAAGAACTATTTTGTTCGCTGCCTTGAGTTACTTATAAAATAACAAAAGCGGGATAAAAATCAGATAAATGAATAAATGCAGTTTGACCTCAAGGGCCAAGTAGTAAACCAGCAGGAAAGAAACCTACATTGCCAGAAGGCAAGTCTAGAACAAGATATGTGGCACCAGGGATGAAAACAGCAATAGCACTTAGACCTATATACCACTTCGTAATGTTTTAAGC